GGCACCGGACAAACCTGTCCCAGTACTAGTCCTAGCTGCAGACCCTTGGATGATCAATAGAGGAACTAACAATGGGCTAGACTTTGCATTGGTTTTATTACTCAAATATTTCACTGTGTGTAATGTTTTACACACACAACCCCATACTGTATTATGTTATATCCTTCTGTTATTCACATGATTTTTGGAGACCCATTGTTTTTACAATACTGTAATTACCATCTACAATTATCATGCACTTGCATTATATTTGCATTAATATTCCTTGAATAAAATTATTGAACAAGAACAAACACTAAATTGTCAATTACCTGAGCAATTTGTTATGCTTTTCTCGAGGGTGACAAAGTTCAACATGAAGATTCCCATTATATTTATTGCTGCCACATTCATAACATGATGCTGTCATGTTAAACAATTTGTGAGAATTGATCAGGTGAGAGTGTGTGTTTTTAGCCCCATAGACGCAGTGCTAGCACCTGAAAAATTGCAACACAAGCATTTTAATACTTTTTTTTTAAAGTGATTCTGTGCCTAGCAACCAGTTTCCTCCTGCTAGCAACCTTCAGACCTGTGAACAAAATTAAGGATTCAGAAGTGTTAATGCTAGATGTGGAGACTTTCATCCACTGGGATTACTTCTACAACCCCAGAGATACCTATTATAAGAAACGCTTCAGAGGGCCAAGAAGAAATTGGCATAGCAGACATGGTTCAGGAGCTCCAATAGCACAAGACACCACAACACCAAACAGAAAAAAAGAGGAAGTGGGTATAAAAAATACAACATATGATGTCACCGATTATACTGCTTTCCACTAGCCAAAATAAAAATATGTAAAGCTTGAAAACACAAAAAACATGCAGTCATTCACAAACAAATGTGTCAAAATCATCTGAAGACAATCACAGTCAAGTGTGATTGGGGGCTAAGACTAATAGTGTCAGTCTACTAAAGGCCAGATAAAGTGATTGCAATTTTTTAAAAATACTGTATAACAAACATGTTATACTTACCTGCTCTGCGTGATAGTTTTGCATAGAGCAATCCCAATCCCAATCTGGGGTTCCCTGCCTGTGCTCCTGTCTTCTCCCCAATAGCAAGCTGTTTTCTATGGGGGCACTAATGTGGGCTTGATCCCCAACCAAGCTCTGTTAGGATTGCCATTTTTTCTTCAATCCTAATGCCAACACTTTATCAGTGTACTGCAATTTGTTTATGTGTAGTACACACTATACATGTATTTTGAAATTGAATAACATTTCTAATCATATGGAGTTAATTGCAAGAGTCCCTTCTTACATCAGAGTCCACAGAGCTCCCTCTTTACATCTGAATCTACAGAGTTCTCCTTTACATCTAAATTCACAGAGTAACTCTTTATATCTGAATCTGCAGAGTTCCCCTTTATATCAGAATCTGCAGAGTTACTCTTTACATCTAAACCCACAGAATTCCCCTTTAAATCTCAATGCACAGAGTTTCTCCTTTACATATAAATCCCCAGAGTTCCACATTTACATCTGAATCCAGAATTCCTCTTTACATCTGAATCTATAGAATTCACTTACACTGTAAGGGGGGACTCTGCAGACTCTGATGTAAGGGAGAACTCTGGGAACTCTGATTTAAGGATGAACACTTAGAGCTTTAATGTAATGAGGGGACTCTGATGTTATGGGGAACACTGCAGACTCTAGTGTAAAGGGGAACACTGATGTAAGGGGGGTCTCTGGGAACCAGTGCTCCCTCTTACATTGTAGTTCTCAGCATTCCCCTTTAATCAAGGTTGCCGGAGTCCCCTTACATCAGAGTCTGTAGAGTTCCTCATTACATTTGAATCTGCAGAGTTCCCATTTATATTTGAGTCAACAGAAGTTTCACTTACACTGTAAGTAGGAGCTCTGTGGATTGTAAAGGGGAACTGTGATGTAAGGGGTTCTCTGCTAACCAAAGCCCCCTTACATCAGAGTCCACAGAGCACCCCTTACATCTGAGCCCCCTCCTTAGTGTACTCACTGGGAAGCAGGAGAGAGAGGGGAGGTTGGGAAGGAGGGGGAGAGCTCAGTTACAGTGGATGGTGAGCTCACTAACCTCAGGATGGAGGCTCAGGCATTGGCATCTTTCATCCAGGATGTAGCTGCCTGTTGCTGGGCTTCAAATTTCCCACCCACATCCCCCTTCTGAGGCACAGCACTGCCAGGGATTGTAAGACATAGGAGGAGAGGGGTGGGAGGAGGGGGAGCAGATCATCTCTCTCTCCTCTCCAGTCTCCTCCATGCAGAGGGGAGGGTGAAACTCTACTGGGTTTGGGCAGTGTGAGAGAGATTGTAACAGACACTTTTGGATACAGCTGCAGCCAGCAACTCTGCAGGGGAGCTATAGTCCAGGCTGAATAATGTGCCCAGATTTCAGGTGGTCTAAATCCTGGACAGATGGCAACCCTAAGCTCTGTGTGTCCATTGGCACACAGAGCATGGCTGTGATTGACATCAGCAGGAACCAAAGCTCTCATTGCTGCATCCATGTCCAGAGAGGAGAAATAGAACTGAGAGTGCTGTAGCGCTCAGGCACAGTGCTGGATCGAGAGCGGGCTCAGGTAAGTATTTAGGGGGACCTGCGGGGGAGCTGAACACCAAAGACTTTTTAACCTTAATGCAAAGAATGCATTAAGGTAAAAATCTTGTGTTCACATTAAGGTCTCATGCACACTTGCCCAGCTTTTTTTCAAAGCAATGTTAAAAACGCACCTAAACTTACGTTATTCAAGCAGGTTTAGGCACGTTTGGATGCATTCAGACATGTCAAGAGTTTGGGTCGTCATTTATTTCATTGGCCAGAATAATAATTTATTCTGGCAATTGAAATTAATGAATGCTCAAGCATTAAATATGTCTAATGTTTACATGCGTTCACACGCTTTTAGACATCATTTTTTTTGCCCACACAATCCTCTCCTGAAAACAATTGGTGTGTTCAAATTTCTACCCCTAAAATGCTCCTCCCTCTAAATGTCTGTCAATGCCTCTGTGTGCATAGACACATAGGCTGACATAGAGGGGTGTTTATAGGCAGAAAAAAATACCAAACGCCTGTAAAATTGGTGGGTTTTTTTAACTACAGTGTGCATGAGGCCTGCCCATCAAATATTGAGCATAATCTAATTCCATAATCTATTTCCTGTGCTTTACATTCTTCTGCACATAACTGGGTATTTGATGTGAACAGCTTTATTATGCTAGGAGAACCTTCAGGAAAATACCCCTCTGAATTAATCGAGAAACATTTCCAGAATAAATTAATGAACTAATAATTCTGTATCTTAAACATCCTCCTAGCTTCTTCTTCTATTCTGCCAGAATCTATTCTGTAAACATTAGAGTATTTTGTGGGCGAGAATGGAATAAAACACTGAATAAATCAAGACTAATTAAAACCACTTTTGGATCTCTTAAAAACAATAGTCACAAAAGATAAAAGCATAGTTGTTTGTTTTAATAGTTATATAACCAATCAATTCCATTCCCCAACAGCAACTGTATAAACACATACCCTTTAGCAACTGCTTTGTACAGCCACCTGCACTCTGATCTAAACTAAACCTATACAAATGTTCCCATGAGAAGCTTTCTCTTTTCTTAGAATAGATTAGCACATATTACCAGCCAGACTGTATCAGTACAGACAGTGCAGCATTCTTTTCATATAAGACGTGATGCTTATCATTGGGGAAATGTTTTATTTGTATTTTTCTACACAAATTTATGTTAATGATGATAATAGAAATAATAAAATATTTCTAATTATAACCCCTCTCTGTGAAGTGATATAATTCACTTGAACCTAAGGGGTTCCACGAAGGGCTGGCTTCTAGTTCTTGGATTTTATGATACTCTATTATTCACGCTGGTTTTGCGAGTATAATTTCTATCTTTTATCCTTCATTGAAGTGCTGTAAATAATGCGCTAGGCATTTGCATGCTTTGTTTTTTGATTGTTTGCATAGTTACAAGATTCCCCGATCTTAGGAGGGCTGCAATGCCTAAATCATCCATTCTGGGCTGCATAGTGGTTATCATATCAGAAATATTGTGTTCAGCTTCTATGGGAGTTCGTGGTGCTATGGTATCAAGTTTTCACATAAGATGTAAACCCTAAATTGATTACATTTACTTTACTATTGTGTCATAAATTGTCATTTTTTTTTTATAAAGTACTGTTTTTATTTTTTTTATCCTTTGATGCATCTCAGTGTTGCTGATCTCCCCCATCCCATAAAACAGGAGTCTGTACTATGTCCTTCATTTAGGTATCTCCGGATATTGTTTTAATGACAGCTAAAAATGTAAAGAAAAGTTCCAGCTCTGGATAGTTTTGCCTATAGTTATGACTACACGTTATCTGTGGGATCCCTCTAGAAGCTAGAAATCACTGTAGATGGCACTGTTACTAAAAGTGATCTCTTAAAGCTTCTGGGTCATGTGCCAAGCAACTTCTCTGCTACAGCGTGGCTCAGCGTGGACACCATTCATAGTTACATACATACTTAATCTGGCTGAAAAAAAGACAAAAGTCCATCCAGTTCAACCATAAAAAAAAGTTGTAATCCTATACCCACAGTTGATCCAGAGGAAGGCAAAAAAACCAAGCAAAGCATGATTTAATTTCCTGCAGGGGAAAAAATTCCTTCCTGATCCCCTGAGAAGCAATCGGATCACTTTGCATTATTACAATGAATGCAGAGTTCTCTGATTGGACAGAGTGGAAAACGCAAAGTATTCTCTGAATGACAATTGAATCAATGTGACCTTATGTATCTGAATGTGCACAGTATGTGTGAATGTAAAAATATCCATATATGAAATTCTTCTTTACCCCCTTCCACCCGCCCTATAGTACAATGACGGGTGCAAGGTGGTTCTCTCGTTCTGATAGGATGTCATATGACGTCCTTCCATTCTCACCGCGCATGCGCGGCTCAGGGAGCTCGCAGCGTGGCGATCGCCGGTGCGCTGTGTCTCTCGGACACAGCAGATCACGGAAAGAGCCAAAGATGTGGGCTCGGTCATGTGATCAGCTGTGTCCAATCACAGCTGATCACATGTAAACATGGAAATGCCGGTTATCGGCATTTCTCTCCTCTCAAGCTATCATGCTGACAGCTCGAGAGGAGAAGAGAGCTGGTAATCAGCTTTCCGTGGAGGGGACATGCACACTGATGATCAGGGCACTAATGATCAGTGTGCCCTGATGATCAGTGTGGCCCTAGAAGTGCCACATGTCAGTGTCCATCAGTGTCAGCAGTCAGTGCTCATCAGTGCCACATGCCAGTGCCCATCAGTGCCACATCAATGCCACATATTAGTGCATACCAATGCACATCAATGCCACATATCAGTGCCCATCTGAGCTTCCTTTCAATGTCACCCATAAGTGCCAGTCAGTGCCACCTATCAACGCCAATCAGTGCCACCTATCAGTACCAGTCAGTGTCGCCTATCAGTGCGCATCAGTGCCGCCTATCAGTTCCAGTCAGTGCTGCCTATCAGTGCCAGCCAGTGCTGCCTAACAGTACCAGTCAGTGCTGCCTAACAGTACCAGTCAGTGCTGCCTAACAGTGCCAGTCAGTGCTGCCTATCAGTGCCGCCTATCAGTGTCATGTATCAGTGCTGCCCTTCAGTGCCCATCAGTGATGCCTGTCAATGCCCATCAGTGCAACCTACCAGTGCCTCCTCATCAGTGCCCATCAGTGCCACCTATCAGTGTCCATCAGTGCAGCCTATCAGTGCCCATCACTGCAGCCTCATTAGCGTACATCAGTGAAGAAAATAAAGCTCTATGTGTCTCAAAAAAAATGAAAAAAATTTCATATGGGTACAGTGTTGCATGACCGCGCAATTGTCATTCAAAGTGCGACAGCGCTGAAAGCTGGAAATTGGCCTGGGCAGGAAGGGGGTATAAGTACCTTGTAGGCTAGTGGTTAAAAAGGGTGAAAACAACATATGAAATTACATTATTATGTATTAAGACTATATGAGTTTTTGGTGATTGGGTTTTGATTTACTTTAAGCTCTTTACATGATCTTGCTTGATCAATGGTAATGTACCAGCCAGAACAAGATAGGATAAAGTTCTATTAAAAAAAGCAATATTGCACAATAAAGAAAGCCATCCAGGAAGAAATAAGCTTACATAGCTTCAAGATTGGCAGCGGTGTGCCGATGTTGGAAAACAGGACTGGATTATAACCACTACTGACACTGGTAGAGATGTAAGGATCCACCATCAATGGGTCTCTGGCTAAGTCGGCTAGGATTCCGAGAGTCACTTGGTAACCTGCTTGGCCTCAGAAGCGGAGCACCGGAAGCAACGTCAAATATCTTCCGGCAGGGGTGCATCTAATCGGATCTGAGGCTCAAGGTGGAGCGCAAGCTGGACCACACAGGATGGATGTTTTCATGTCACCATGACTTGTCAGGTAAATTGAGAAAGGGTCATGCCTGAAACGCATTGTCATGGTGACAGTTGAGCTCAGGAACAAACATGACCTCAGAGCAAATATCTTGTTCTGAAGGCACTCAACAGGAGGAGGGGTTCCATCAGTTTTTATTTTTTTTTTTTCAGCAGACTCCAGGCTTTCAAGAAAAGGTGATCTGGGTGACTGTAGAGCTGCTTAATCACTTTTATTGGGTGTAGGTTTTTTTTGTGCTATAAACCAGTGACTCTGGATGCACAGTCTGTCCAGGGGCAAAAATGAATGATCTGAATGAGTGACTGACATGCTAAAATGAAGAATAAAGTCCTTATTTTTTAGATTTGTGATGGAAGTGATGACACGCAAATACTTTTGCTCTGGTTTAAAGGAGAGCTGTTTTGATTAGCTTAAGCTCATCTCATAACCTGCCTGGTTAAAATTTCCAATTAGGTATGACAAAGGCTATGCATCTCTCTTCAGTTTTAATAAATACTGTAAAACACTGTTAATATGTGAAGTTACCTGTCATGACCCATTCAAATCTATTAAACTGCACCCTGAGAAGAATGGTTCTTTCATACGTTACAGTTAGTTCCCCTATACCAGTGAGAACAGGATACCATTTTTTCTTATACAAGACTTGTCAGAAATGCAAAATAAAAGGCAACATGTATACAAAGGATACAGCCTATGGGGTTGATTTACTAAAACTGGAGAGTGCAAAATCTGGTGCAGATGTGCATAGAAATCAATCAGCTTCTAACTTCAGCATGTTCAATTAAAAAACTGGTTTCTATGCACAGCTCACAGCTCATAGCTTGAGCTGTGAGCATTTTACTTATTTACTGATTGTAATTGTCTGCTGTACCTCTTGAAAATTCATCTCTGGGCAGTTCTAGGTCTCTCACTGGCACCATTTCTGGGTGTTGGGGACCAGCAGTCCACTGGCACACTAGCTGATCTCTGAAGGTCCCTTCACACTGGTAACATCACCAGCACACTCTCTTTTCAATCATAAGAGGACCCATACAATCCGATTCTGGTGCAGACAAAAAAGGGTCCTGCACTTTTTTGGTGCGGATGCGGTGCAATTTGAGCCATAGAAAACGTATGGCGCAAATTGCACCGCACAGAAATCGAATGTGATTTGCACAGGATTTGCGGTTCCTGTGCAAATCACATGCAATGTGCCGCATCGCATCAGTGTGAACCCGGGATCAAAGTAGAACTATACGTTTAGCAACAATAAACTGTAAATAACCATCTCATACATAATTTCAATATTGTACAGGGGGTAATAATAATTGCAATGTTGTACAGAGAAAAATTTAATTTTACTCTTTCTTGTGGTGCCTGTCTCTTACAGTTGTAATAGAGAGAGAATGGGTTGGAGGTGCTGGATCCAAAGTGGGTTTTTCTTGCAGTGTGAAGTTGAATTTATTAGGGAATACAGCAATGGAAGCTAGGCTGCTCCCATTCACAAAAATACATCTTTGAGGTCCCTCAGACAAAATCCAAGAGTTGCAGAAGAACGAACACCTCACCAATGAATAAGAGTCCAAATGTTTCTTTTTTTTTTATTTCATCCTAATACAGTGTGTTTCAAAAGAAATGACCCAATTTCAAACAGTTACATTTAGTAATGAAAATGTGTTACAATTACATAACAAATTACAAACTATTAAGTAAGTCCTCAAGTTTCACTTACCATGTTATAAATGCTCTCTACCTTCTGTACGATAACATCAAGATGATAGCTGAATTCTTCCCCAACATTTCTGAGGCTGTCTTCTTCCACAGAAGTGATTGCAGCCGTGATTCTGTTTTTGAGCTCATCCAAGACAGCGGGCAATGTTGGAACATAAACATGTTGTTTTACATATCCCCAAAAGAAAAGGTCACAGGGTGTAATGTCTGGAGATATTGGGGAGGGGGGGGGGTGGAAGGAGTGTAGAGCCAAATTTCGGAGTCCCAGGCAACCTATCCAACACTGAGGCAAAGTTTCATTTAGTAACTGACAAACTTGGTTGTGCCAGTGTGGCGGTGCTACCTCTTGCTGAAAAATGAAATCTTCAGAGTCTTCATTAAGTTGTTGGAAAGGCAAGTCCTTCGGTATTTCCAGATAGGAATGTCCCATAGCAGTGTTTCCCTCCAAAAAGAAAGGACCATAAATCTGTACAAACTAACCCAAAAAAGATAATTTTTTGGTGATTATTGCTCATGCTGTACAAGTTTGTGTGGCTTCTCATGTCCCCATATGCCAACATTGTCATGCTAAACTTTACCGCATAGATGAAAAGTTGCTTCATCACTAAAAACCAACTGCAATAAGAATCTGTAGTCCTCCATGTCGTCTAGAGCATATGATAGAAATCTAAACATTTTCTTGTGTCACTTACATGAAGAGTTTGCACCAGTTGCAATCTGTATGGCGCCAGAAGCAAACATCATCTTTAATACTCAACTTGACATTCTTTTCATGCCCTTTCCTTTCATGGTTTTCTTCAGTCCTTCCCTTTAATGCAAACGGTCAGTCCACCCCCCCATCACCATTGCTTTCCTGTTTTCTTTGACTCCTTTAAAAATTTGCTCTCCATCATCCATCTACAACACAGGAAAAGTATCTAGTAGAGTCATTCCTTGACATCCAGTGGTGCTTTTCTTCTCTCCTGTGCAGCTGGCTGGCTGGAAGGAAGTGTAGTTATATGTCACTAACTCCCAGAATTGCCGCGGAGGAAGGAAAAATGAGCGCAAGGGCCGTGGGACCACTTTGTAAGTGCACGGTGTGTGCACTATCTTAATGGGACCTGCTGGTTGCAATAATACAAATATTAAGGCTGGCCATAGTTGCTGTCCTACCTGTCTTGACATTTATATTAGTGCAGCCGACGGTTTTTATTAAGCTGTGTTGTCAGGGCACCAGACTTTTTGTTAGGGCATAAGAGAGGCCTGAGGGGCACTTGCCCCATGGTCCAGTCTGCCCCTGATCACGTTCCACGTTTGGATCACAACACATTTCTTCAGAAACGTGGCTTTAACTCATTCCTGCCAGCTGTACATATCTATGCAGCCTTTATTGCCGAGTGGCATTAAAATTTGCATCGAGAGCTTCCAATCATGTGGCTGCTGTGAAATCCAATCACAGCAGTCACATGATCAGAATACCTCTGCCTCTTTGCCTTTAGATTCTTTTAAAGAGCCAGGGGGTGGCTGTGGGAAGGGTTCATTTGCAGTCCAATGTTTACCAGTATATTGAGCCCTGGTCCATTAAGCTGGCCACACACTAAACAAAATTACAGATTCCTCCATCCACACTATACAGCATGGATGGACAAATATCCTGCTGCTTTTGTATTTTGACGCCTTACCCCACCAGATCTCAAAATACCCAAACAGTGGCTGCATCTGATTGAGTGCAGCTTATCTTTGGCAAAAACTTTTCAAACAGGCTCCTTCCACAAAAGTCAAACAATCAACTTTTGTTGAATGGAATGGAACCGGCTGGGCCTTTCCTCAGAAACTGTCCACAATTTGCAGTTTATGGCCAGCTTTAAAACCTGTAAAATGTGCTGCTTTTTCTTGTTCAGATAAACAAAATACAAAAATTACATTCAGCTACTGGCTTGGCACGCCTTCTCTTCTGAATGTCTTAGAACTGATTCAAACATGTGCAGTGCAGATTGCAGCTCAGGTTTCCCAGCTAATTGACACAGTAGTTGTTCAGCGGTTCATGTCAGGTTTACATCAGGTTCAGGACAGGATCAGGTCAGGATTTTATCCTGCTTACACATATAGAAATAGTTTCCATAGAAGTCAATAGCCTGTAATCCACACCTGAACCTGACTGAATTGCTCAGAAATTGTACATGACTCTTTTTCAAACATATGTGAACAGGCACCATAGGAAGCAATGTTATTTCACATGTTATGCAGATTGGATGTGGTTCAAACCGCATCCAATCCGCATATATGTGAACCAGCACTAACAATTGTAATGTCATTGCTGTGCTGTTCATTCACATTATGGTTGGGGGAAAT